TCTTTGCTTATTTCAATTCATTTTTTTATTCTTTGTTAGCAAAAAAAACTTAAACAAATATTCCAGGCTTTTTTTTCTTCACTACAATTATTACCACCTTTCCTGCCTTCTCCACCTTACTTCTTCCTATCTCCCTAACTCCACTTCATCCTACTTTTATAAATTCTCTACCTCTATTAAACCAAAATTAGGTTACCCGTTCCGAGTAATCAACATTAAAAGAACTATTATATAAATGGTTTTTTTTTTTTTTTTTTTTTGCATTACAAGAGGAAAACCAGAAGGAACTGTGTTCACTGGTTACCACTGACCAATACAAAAACTTCGAAAGGGGAGACGGGAAGTTGAAAATGATTAAAAAAAAACAGTGTAAATAAATCAAGATCCTATGCCACACCTTTGAGAGATGTGATGATGATGGCGTTGCTGCTGCTGTTAGGCTATGCCTCTACAAACCCATGGATAACCATTATGGCCAGGCTGTTTTTTTTTTCTTTTTTGTTTTCTGCTTTACGAGTTTTTTTTTTCTGCTCCGTGTTTTTTTTTCCACTTTCTCTACTCTCCGCCTGCTGTGGATAGATACGAGAATGATCTTTCTGGCCCATGAAAACAGCTAGATAGTGTGTGCAAGATGGACAGCGCAAGTTAATGTTGCAGCAGCTTAACACTCCTGTGATGCGGCAGCACAGCAGAAGCCTCCTTGTTGCTCATGTTTAGCCTGATGGGTCCTCCCTCGCAGCAGCAGCAGCAGCAGCAACAGCAGCAGCAGCGGCGGTGGTGATGATGATGATGACGATGATGTTGGTGGTGGTGGTGCTGATGTTGGTGACGGTGGTGGTAGCAGTACTGATGATGAAGTTGCGCAGCCGCTCGCTGCCCGTACCAGGCAGTACCCACTGGAGCAATTCGAGCTGCACACTGTTTTGCCGTATGCTTCATCTTTGATCTCTCCGATGACCACAGTCTCTCGTCAAATTTCAGTCTACTTAGAAGTTTGAAAAACTGTTGGGAGTGCATCTAGTACGACCTGGTATTTACGTCACCTTATGCTATAAAGAATGGAAAAAAAAAAGAAAAATTGAAAAATACTTTTTTGTCCATAAAAAACCCTATGGTTGTACTCAATTCCCATGATTTGACAACAACCAGAGCAGCAACGACAACAACAACAACGGAAACAGTTGTAGATACTCATGATGACTAAGGTCCATCGGTTAACTGGTCTTTTTACTTATGTGTTCTTTGCCTCTCCACCCTTGTTTGCAGCCTTTGCAGCCTATTTTACTTGCACTTATCCAACCGTCGTACCCAGGCATATAACTCTGTAAGTTCACACCGCTAACTGCATTACCCGTATGCCATTTCGTTTCCTCTCATTCTCCTTTACTCCATCCCTTTAAATCCCAACCATCTTACTTGTTTCCTTATTAACCAAAAATTCAAACAAGTTTTCTCTCCTACTTACTTAATTGATATGGTCGTTTTTATTTTTGCAAAAAAAAAAAAAAAAAAAAAAAAAAAAA